GGGCCCCAAAAGAGGACTTTGGGTAAAGCCTGACTGAACACTTGATTGGATGGGAAACTGGATTTCAGGGGCAAGGAGGACATGATAAAGGCAAATGGTGCAAGCAAAAAAAAAAAAAAAAAAAAAAGCAACTAGGAACTCTAGGGAAAACAAAAGCTTCCCAAGAAAAGAAATGTAATCTTAGCACATTACTTGGCTCAGGAGACAACAGTTTTCACAGCCACAACAATGTAACACTGTTCAGAGGGTTTTAACGTTTAGAATTAATCTATACAGAAGGCAAGGAAGGATTGTTTATGGTTATGGGACATGATATAAAGTTGACCTTGTAAATACAAAAGACAGGTGATAGGAGTTATGAGAGAGGAGGCTAAAGGGAGGACTAGGGACCTCAAAAGCCTTGTCTGACAGTGGAGTGGGTGGGGGTTGAGGGAAGGAGAGTAGAGAAGGCTGTACATCAGCAAAATCCTTCTTGGTTGGACTGGAAGTTGCCCAAGGTCCCCTCTGCAAGGTCAGCTTCAGTTCCCTTTAGCAGTGCACTGGCCTGCTGGCATAGCCTTTTTGTCCCAGAAGCCTGGCCTATCTTGGGGTCACCAAGCCCTCCCTCCCTCCTTCACAGCAGCCTCCCCTAGCCAACACTTCCTGCCGTTTGTCCCTTGGGCCAGTCCTGCCTTCAAAGTTTGTCTGAGTATGGACTTCCTGAGCATTTGAGCCCTTTGATCTCCCTAGAGCCAGGAACAGAGGCCAGCAGAGGCTGGGCAGGGTGGTGGTTGCTGCGGGGGACCAGTTAGCAGTCGGGGTGGCAGGCCATAAATCCCTGGGGGGAACAAAGGCAGCTGCGGCCTGTAGACTGTCCAGGCCCCTTGTGGGCAATCTGCCCAGGAGACTCAGAATCTCCATTTAATTTGGAAATAAAACCCTTGGGGTTATATGGTAAATAAAAATATAATTAAGAGTCTCCCAAAAGCACTCAGAGGTTCAGTGAAACCACCATATTTGGCCATTTAGGGCAGTTTGCAGAGGCCTCTGTGCTTGCTAGGAGGCTTTGCCTTTTATCCCATCAGCACTTGGAGTTAGGAAGCCAGGCTAGCAGACAGAGGAGAGCCCCTCCCTTCTGCTCAGGGAGCTTCTCGGAGGCAGGGCATTGGGTTCAGGATCCATTCAGTTCTGTTTCCACCCCCAGGGTCATGGTTTGAAGAGTGGGAGGGGTGGCGAGCAACTCTTAGGGCTTCCACAGTTTTGGCCTCACAAGGCTTCATTCATCACTGTGAGAGAAGGGCTGGGGTCAGGGGACTATGCTGCCCTGCCCATATCATTCGCAATGGATACATGTGACCTTTCTGGTGGAGCCTCCTGACTGCCCCACCTTTAACCCTACCTAGCCTTGATGACCCGAAGACAGGCAGCCAGCCTGGAAAGGCCAGGTAACCCAGGGCAGCGATGCAGGGAAGAGAGAGGTGCGTGGAGGCAGAGCTAGGGGTACTCTGGAGCTGAGCCAGACAGCTGCACCCCTCCAACTGAAAGTGAAGACTGTGGGTCATAACACGATTAGGTTTGCATTACACAAAGTTCATTTCTGCAGCCTGAAGAAGGGTGTGTGTGTGACACACACAGGAAGAAAGGGAGCCAGCAAGAATCAAACGCTATAAGGGAGCTGACTGCGAGGCAGCCTTTGGGATGTAAGATTCTTTAATGCAGAATTTCTGGAGTTCCTTTAAAAAAATTTTTTTTTAATAATCTTTGATCTCTATTCAGGTTTTCTTCTGTGCTATGTGAAAAATACATACAAGTAAAAATAAAAATATACTCGCTTTATTTACCAATTTTCTAAAAGGCAAACAGGTCATAAAAAGACACAAGCAGTCAAACAAATCTATTGCACTGGGTAAAGAAAGTTTGGTTTGCACACGAACAAACCACTTGTCCAGCAAGGCTCAACAAATCATCACACAAACTCTGAGAGCTTATTTACATATCTTTTTTAGGAATATATTAAAAAGAAGGCTCAGTTTAAAATAGAGAAAAAGTGTTTAACACCTGTATAAGCACACACACTAAAGAAAACATGACTCGATGCTTGGCATCATGTAAACAAATTCACAAGATGATCCTATTAAGTCAACTGCTTGGCACGCGCTGAAGCTACAATCAATGAGCATATATTAAATAACAAAATAATGCTGATGGTAAACATTCATAACAGCAGAGTAAGATTTTGGCAGTTTTGTGTTTCAGTAACATACATGTAACCTTAAGATTAACACCTATCCCTTCATGATCTGACTTTAGAGGCAAGAAGCAGTTTGTAACAGCTAATTGCCGTAAGAATGCAGACTGCTACCTTATCGTAGGCATAGGCAGGTGATGTTACTTTGTAAATTAACAAAAAATTAAAGTGTTCTTGTGTTTACGAAAAACAGGTTTAATATTCAGGCATAAGATGGTTTTACTATGAAAACCTAGTGGATTACAAAGAGATTTCACTTCCATCAAAAAACAGAAAACCCTGGTCCAGGTCGGGCATGGTGGCTCACGCCTGTAATCCCAGCACTTTGGGAGGCCAAGGTGGGTGGATCACTTGAGGTCAGGAGTTCGAGACCAGCCAGGCCAACATGGCGAAACCCTGTCTCTACTAAAAATACAAAAAATTAGCTGGGCGTGGTGGCGGGCGCCTGTAGTCCCAGCTACTCAGGAGGCTGAGGCAGAAGAATCACTTGAACCTGGGAAGCAGAGGTTGCAGTGAGCCGAGATGGTGCCACTGCACTCCGGCCTGGGCAACAAGAGAGAAACTCCATCTCAAAAAAAAAAGAAAAAAAAAGAAAAGAAGAAAACCCTGGTCCCTTTTAAGCCTCATAGTCTTGGTCCAATTTTAAGTCAACTGTTCTTCAGTGATAACTGTGAATTCCCACCAGGGATGAATATTAAATTTTCCAAACCATCTTTGGAATATACAATGCAACATGAGGTTTTGTAAAAAGTTGGGCAGACTGGCCTCACTTTTCCCCAAGTGTCCAAATGACTTAAAAGTGCTGGGGACACTGGCAGAGGTCTAAAGCTGCTCCGAGAGAGGTCGGGCTCATGAAAAGAATGAGGGCTGGGCACCCAACCCAGGGTGCAGCAGGGAGAGGTAAGCTCACTGCACCCCTGAAAATACAGACGCAGTTGCAAGCTGTGGGATTGAGTGGCAGTGGCTGCTCTCAGCCAGAAGATGTGATGTGGGCTTGGCTGGGTGGAAGCTGATGTCTGGGTGGCTCCAACGGAAGAAGACCAAACAGGACTGGGTCCCACATGTGTTGGTCACAGCCTGGTTTGCAGAGGGAAGTCACCATAAAGAGATGACTGATGACATATTTCAATCTCTGTATCAGCCATCATGGTCTGAAAAGGAGACAAGAACGATGCAGAAATATGCAGAGGGTCTGCGTGTGCATTCATCCGATGGAGTTGGCCACACAAACCACTAGGCTTCTTTAGTCCAGAGCAAATGTTTCAACTTTGTTCACTACAAACAAAAGTTATGTCAGATTGAAATATTGAACACACCAGAAGCCAAAGCTGTTGGTTTGCCAAACAATGCTTCACACCATGTAATGTGAAACGTTTTGAAAGAAAACTAGGAGAGGCTGCTATCTCCACTTGGTATGTAAAAAAAAAAAAAAAAAATCTACCTTGACTAAATGATAATTCAGATAAAAAGCAGTCCCCAAGAGAGGACAAAATTTGATCTGATCCAAACACCCTGGGAAAGCTCTGGAAGCCAGAGTCCCCAACTGGTGCAGCAGACAGAGGTCTCATCACAGTCACAGGACTTCTGGGAGCACTGAGGCAACTTCCCTGACACGAAGAGGCGTTTAGTCTTTCTCAAGTTAAATAACAGCTAAAGTCTCTTCCCATCCCACAAGACTCTACATATATATTTTATATAGGGCAGACTGGCCTCACTTTTCCCCAAGTGTCCAAATGACTTAAAAGTGCTGGGGACACTGGCAGAGGTCTAAAGCTGCTCCGAGAGAGGTCGGGCTCATGAAAAGAATGAGGGCTGGGCACCCAACCCAGGGTGCAGCAGGAGAGGTAAGCTCACTGCACCCCTGAAAATACAGACGCAGTTGCAAGCTGTGGGATTGAGTGGCAGTGGCTGCTCTCAGCCAGAAGATGTGATGTGGGCTTGGCTGGGTGGAAGCTGATGTCTGGGTGGCTCCAACGGAAGAAGACCAAACAGGACTGGGTCCCACATGTGTTGGTCACAGCCTGGTTTGCAGAGGGAAGTCACCATAAAGAGATGACTGATGACATATTTCAATCTCTGTATCAGCCATCATGGTCTGAAAAGGAGACAAGAACGATGCAGAAATATGCAGAGGGTCTGCGTGTGCATTCATCCGATGGAGTTGGCCACACAAACCACTAGGCTTCTTTAGTCCAGAGCAAATGTTTCAACTTTGTTCACTACAAACAAAAGTTATGTCAGATTGAAATATTGACCACACCAGAAGCCAAAGCTGTTGGTTTGCCAAACAATGCTTCACACCATGTAATGTGAAACGTTTTGAAAGAAAACTAGGAGAGGCTGCTATCTCCACTTGGTATGTAAAAAAAAAAAAAAAAAATCTACCTTGACTAAATGATAATTCAGATAAAAAGCAGTCCCCAAGAGAGGACAAAATTTGATCTGATCCAAACACCCTGGGAAAGCTCTGGAAGCCAGAGTCCCCAACTGGTGCAGCAGACAGAGGTCTCATCACAGTCACAGGACTTCTGGGAGCACTGAGGCAACTTCCCTGACACGAAGAGGCGTTTAGTCTTTCTCAAGTTAAATAACAGCTAAAGTCTCTTCCCATCCCACAAGACTCTACATATATATTTTATATATAAAAACATATTTCTTTCCAAACCCTCCCCACTCTCCAGTTTTAAGTCACCCCTTCAGAAAACTATGTTTTGTTTTTTTTTTTCTAAAACAAAAAAAGCAACATGAGCGTATGTGTCCATTTCAGTGGAAACAGCCATGAAGATCTTTCGTCTCTTCCAAGCACCACCTGTGTAGCTTGCTGGCTGCCGGGCTGAGGTGGGGCAGGGGTTACGTCTGCTCTTCGATCCTGTGATTCAAGGGGGATCCATTTTCGTCTTCTTTGGTGTCCGACACTTCGCTGAGTCCCAGAGAAGGAATATCTTCCTCATATGGTATGCAAATATTACCTTTTTCCTTGTTTTCACAGTAAACACATTCCTTAAAAGAAAAAAAAAAAGTGAAATCAGTAACAAACTTGAGATCTGAGTTGTTCCAAAAGTCATTCAAGGCCGGGCGTGGTGGCTCAAGCCTGTAATCCCAGCACTTTGGGAGGCCGAGACGGGCGGATCACGAGGTCAGGAGATCGAGACCATCCTGGCTAACACGGTGAAACCCCGTCTCTACTAAAAATACAAAAAACTAGCCGGGCGAGGTGGCGGGCGCCTGTAGTCCCAGCTACTCGGGAGGCTGAGGCAGGAGAATGGCGCAAACCCGGGAGGCGGAGCTTGCAGTGAGCTGAGATCCGGCCACTGCACTCCAGCCTGGGCGACAGAGCGAGACTCCGTCTCAAAAAAAAAAAAAAAAAAGAAAGAAAAAACTCATCAAGGCCGGGCGTGGTGGCTCAAGCCTGTAATCCCAGCACTTTGGGAGGCCGAGACGGGCGGATCACGAGGTCAGGAGATCGAGACCATCCTGGCTAACACGGTGAAACCCCGTCTCTACTAAAAATACAAAAAACTAGCCGGGCGAGGTGGCGGGCGCCTGTAGTCCCAGCTACTCGGGAGGCTGAGGCAGGAGAATGGCGTAAACCCGGGAGGCGGAGCTTGCAGTGAGCTGAGATCCGGCCACTGCACTCCAGCCTGGGCGACAGAGCGAGACTCCGTCTCAAAAAAAAAAAAAAAAAAAAAAAAAAAAAAGAAAAAAGTCAAACCGAGTAAGGAGCAGGTGACCAGGTGTCAGCCAGGAGGCAGCCGGCAGCAAAGGCCAAAATCCCTGCCCCAGGAGCTGGCACTTTGTAGCAGAGAGGGGCAATGACTAAGAAGGGCTCCAGAGGCATAGAGTATATGGAGGACATCTGTGATTTTCAACTGGACATTCACAGCAGACCACAGAAAAGGTGACACAATGGTTTTGAAACGCATCCACACTCTTTGCCACTTCTCCCTCAAAAGGTGGGGCCTAATTCCTTTCTCCTTAACCCTTGGCTGGAGTCAGGCATTTGCCTCTAAAAGAGTATCTGACTTCTGATTCTAGGTCCTAAAGGCACCTTGGCTTCCTCTTTTTCTCTCTGGGGAAGTCACCTGCCACGCTGTGAGGACATCCAGGCAGCCCTACGGACAGGTCCCCACGGCAAGCAGCTGAGGCCTCTGCCAAGAGCCAGCAGCGCATGACAGGCCTGCAAGTGAGGCTCCTGGAAGCTGGTCCTCCAGTTGGCAGGTGACAGAAGCCCCCACCAGTATCTTACCATCAACATCAGCAACGACCCTGAGCTAGCAGTACCCAGCTAAGCCACTCTCAAATTCCTGACCCAAAGAGACCATGCAAGAGAATACATGTTTGTTGTTGAAGTCACTAAGTGTCGGGCCATCTGCCATGCAGCAAGAGATTACTAATGCAGCAGCGGGTGGAAGACAGACTCTAAGGCAGCCAGGGTGAGCCACAGGTCTCTTTGAGGAAAAAGGATTCCAAGCAAGGGCTGGGTACATGCGAAGATCCTGTGGCAGGGGCCTGCCAGGGCAGTCCGGGAAATAGCCAAGGGGCCAGTGTAACTGGAGAGGAGGGAAGGAGAGGAGAAACGGGAGATGAGGTAGATGTGGATGGGCGGTCAGACGTGTATGACTTTGCAACCATTTATTCTGATTGAGGTGGCACAGTGCTGGCAGGGATCTGAACTGTGGGGGACAGATTCTGACTGAGGTGACATGGGGAGCAGTGAGTGCAGCTTCGAGGCCACTCTGACATGCAGGGCTCATGCCATGGAAGCATCCTCATGGCTTGGACCTGTGTGGTGATGCTGGAGGCACTAAGCGATGGGCTTCTATCTACCTTCCAGGTTGAACCCAGACAATTTGCCAACCAACTAGCTGGGGCCTAAGAGTAGAGCCTGGGATGCCTCCAGGGCTTGCAAGGCGTGCGGGGGTGGGGGGCAAAGAGGTACAGACACTGAGCCAGAGGGTGCAGAGCAGAGGAAGAGCCTGTGGGGAGGCCAAGAGGTCAGAGGGCCAGCCTGAAGAGCACGGGGCCTGGAGGCCAAGGGCAGCAAGAGCCCCCTGGAGAGAGCCGCTCACTGCTCCCAGTGATCCCGGGGATGAGGACTGAGAAGTGACACTGTGTTTGGCTGCTGGAGAACTTGAGACCTTGACAAGAGCAGCTTCCATGGTGTGTGTAGGCGAGGGGTTGGCAGAGAGCAGGAGAGTGGGGCTGGTGTGCCCATGGGGCCACTGGAAGGACATATGCCTGGAGAGCATGCCAGCAGGAACTTGTTTTTTCCACCATTATTTAACACTCTCCATGGACACTGACGGTTTGTGATAGGAGAGGTTTTTTTGTAAAATCGAAAACAGAATTGAAAGAAAGAAAACACAGATTTCAGCAAGTGACTGAGATTAGATTTTTCAACCTTTTTGGAAACAATGTTGAAAAGCCACTGGAACAAAGTTATTTGAAGCAGACCTAGTGTTGTTGTGCCTTTAAAAAAAATAAACCTTTAATCTTAGAAGATTTTTTTTTTTTTTTTTGAGACGGAGTCTCGCTCTGTCGCCCGGGCTGGAGTGCAGTGGCGCAACCTCAGCTCACTGCAAGCTCTGCCTCCCGGGTTCACACCATTCTCCTGCCTCAGCCTCCCGAGTAGCTGGGACTACAGGCGCCGCCACCACGCACGGCTAATTTTTTGTATTTTTAGTAGAGACAGGGTTTCACCGTGTTAGCCAGGATGGTCTTGATCTCCTGACCTCGTGATCCGCCCGCCTCGGCCTCCCAAAGTGCTGGGATTACAGGCTTGAGCCACCGCGCCCGGCCTAATTTTACAAGTTTTAAATTGATAGAAAAGTTGCAAAGATAGTACGGAGAATCCCCATCACAGAGCCTTTTAGGGCCGTATCAGAAATCAAGTCCCATGAGCTTACTGCCACGTCGATGGCTGCGGGCAGGCCACCCGTCTGCATCCACTGGTGGACCTCGCGCAGCTCCTGCTTCTGACTCTCCGTGAACCTGGGCTGGAGTTTCTGCAGGAGCTTCAGCTTCTCTCTGTCCTCCTTCAAAACTGCTTCTAAATTTCTTCGCAAGATATTTAGAAACTGGTAAGCTTTCAAATGTCTTACGGGTTTCTGTTTTTATTCTTTCAGTATAAATAATGTAGTTTTAGATGATTTTGTTTAATGCAAATTTCCTTTTCTTTAAAAAAATTACCGTTTAAGGTAACTTAATCTCCCTAGTAAAGAATCTGTAGTTTTTCTATGAAAATGATGATTCTGGTCAAGATTTAATTTTACTATATTTTACAACAGGCCTGGGAGTTGGGTATCTGCAGGTGTAACCTTGTCCCCTGGGGCTTGGTTCCACAACAGGCATGGTTCATCTGGGAGATTCTTGCCAGCAGGATGGCCTTCCTCTGTCACTGGCCAGTGCTGGTCTGGACTACAGCTACCCTGGAGATGGAGCCTCCATATCCACTAGCTGACCAGAGGACTTAGGGCTTTGATAGGGTTTGGCTCTGAGTCCCCTCCCAAATCTCATGTGGAACTGTAATACCCATGTGTTGAGGGAGGGACCTGGTGAGGGGTGGCGGGATCATGAGGGTGGTTCTCCCACGCTGTCCTGGTGACAGTGAGTTGTAATGCGATCTGATGGCTTTATAAGTATTTGGCAGTTCCTCCTTCGCTTGTGCTCTTTTCCTGCAGCTTTGTGAAGAAGGCGCTTGCTTCTCCTCCCTTCCATGACTGTAAGTTTCCTGAGGCTTCCCCGGCCCTGCAGGGCTGTGAGTTAACTAAACCTCTTTCCTTTATAAATTACCCAATCTCAGGTATTTCTTTACAGCAGTGTGGAAACGGACTTATACAGGGTTCGTTTTTCCTTCCTTTCTTTCCTCCCAGCTTCTCCTGCCAAGTGGGTGCTCCGCAAGGGAAAGGACCACATGCAGTTCCCTACGGCAGCCTGATGTGGACGCAGAGCCCCTGGGTCACTGCAGAGCAGCCAGCTCCCTGGGCTGGTCACCTACCTTGACACTTAGTTCCTTCAACTCTAAGTCAGACAGACAGACAGACACATCCCATTTACCTCACAGGGTTACTGGGCAACAAAGCAAGAGATGCTGGCACCAATGCTTTGTGAAAGTTGAGCGTGGCACTGTGAAGGAAGCACCGGGAGCCTGTCTTCCTCGAAGGCCGCAGGGTGTGAATCCACAGGGCCCTGGCTTACCCTGGCCACACTGCAGGGCCATGGCCATCCTGTACTAGCCTGGTAGAATTGTCCAGAGGGAAGCCTGCTTCTCCGCTGCACTCAACTCAATCTCAGTCTTTCAGAGGGGTGTCCTGCCCCATCTGAATGACCTTGGCCTTGCTGTTTCTGGGAACTCCTGAACCCCATCCCTCCCCAGGTGCCCAGGAAAGCGCTGGGTGGTTACCGGGAAGGCAGCTGGTACGTCATCATGACGCTGCTGTCCGCATCCGCCATCAGCAGCCAGATGGGATCCTGCAGGACGCACTTAATGAAATGCTCACTTTCTTCCATACCAGTGTTCATTTTTGCTTTGTGATTATTCTCTGAGGAGTCAATGCTTCCAAAATATTTGCTGGTATGACTTGTGTCACTACTGCCTTTAAAAACAAAAAACATGGTGCATCAAAACCTTGACATATGAAATTAAACCTTGCATAATGTGCTTCCTCAAAGTCAGAATGATTTGAGAGAGCCCAGCCCCTTCTTAGGTATTGGGTATCTGTGCCGGTGCACGTTCCCCTTCTCTTCCCACTTCCTGAATGCTCTGGGTAGTTAGGAAACAGGATCTCTGCTAGTGCCATGCAGGCGATTCTTTCCTGTGAAGCCCTGAGCAGCTCAGATGGAGCTGCGTGTTACAAGCCTTGACCTTCTCTCCCAAGCTCTCACCATCTCCGCTCACGCGGACCACAGGGCACTGCACTGCAGTTTCCCACAAGGGGAGGCAGCTGGCCTGGAGCGCTCCCTAGCCAGCCTCACCTGTGCAGCAGGCCTGCGAAGGGGGACGAGGTGAAAGCTCCCTCCAGAGAAGTAGGGGAGCTTCAATTTTGTGGAGTGTGTGTGCATTTCTGGTGACTGAGATTCCAGATCACATGTGAAAGATCCCAACGGGTAGAGGCTTGCAGGTGCTTCACACCCTCAGTTCACACAAGTGGAACTAATGCAGGAAGGCAAACCACTATCTGGGGAGTCAGAGGGATGGTCCAACAAGGAGCCAGGGTGAGGCCTGCAGGCACTGAAATCAGAAGCAAATAGGGAGGATGTGGAATTCTGACTAGCTAGGGCTGGCCATGCGGAACAGGGAGTGTGTGTCTGTGTGGGTGTCTGCATGGGCTCTGACAGCTGCTTGGGGACTGCCGGTGATCCCTGTCCTGAGCACAGAGGCTGGCCTGCGATTCTGGAGCAATGCATCCTGTGGGAACCTCCCAAGTGCCTAACACCCCGCCAGGGCCAACATACCTGCCCGACTCGGGGAGGTGTCGCAGCCCAGTGAGCCAGAGCCCAGTGACTCCGAAGCAGCAGAGCCCGAGGCTGAGCAGAGGTCCTCATTCAGCAGGAGGTTTAGGAGGCCGCTTGACGTGGAAAGGGCGTCACTATTCTGCGTGTCTGAGGGTTCGTCACGCTTTAGGGACAGGAATAGGGGCTCAGTCAGGACACAGCACATTCAGCAGGGTGGGGGTGGGGGGCATGAGTGGGGCGAGGGTGGAGGGGAGCTGTGGAGCGGCTGCGAGGTTCACGACCAGGGAGGGCTTAATGAGCAGACCACGCATCACCACCAGGCCTACAGTGCAAATTCCACTGGTGCTCTATGGATGCCATCTAATTACATTTAATTTTGGGAGAGTCACACGGAAAACGGTAATAGCTGGGCTCCAGCGGGGAAAGCCTCAGGCTGCTGCTTGGCCACAGCCCCCTCCTCACATGCAGCAGACATGGACAGGGAGAACGCCTCTCACAGCACCCCGTGTGGGTGCTGCCTTGGGAGTGAGGGAGGGGCCTGGCCTGGGGAGCATCCCTGACTCTCCTCTCCTTGGAAACCCAGACTATAGGCCCAGGACTCCAAAAGCAGGAGCCCGGAGGTGGCAGGAGGACTGGGAGAAGCTCCACAGATCTACACACTTGCACTTCCTCACCCAGGAGCCCTAGGTCCTCCGGCCAAGGCAGGGAATCGCCTGAGGCCTACGGACTGCACTGCTGCTGGCGTTCCCACACACTTGAGCTCATTCAGAAACACAAGTGTTTAACTGCAAATACAACTGCCATTTCATTAACTGGTTAAGAATCCCACACAGTGTCACTATGCCTGCGGAGGATGGAAACTGAGGTCCCGCTGATTTTAGGGCTGTGTCCTCCTTCGTCTCTGCCTTCACCAGGGCCACCTGAGTCAGGCTCTGGCGCCACGCCCTGAGGAGCCCAAGCTCTGGTATTTAAACTGACCGTGCTTTATCTTTGAAGTGTCATTTAAAAATTCGAAGCCCATAAATACTGTCAAGTCACATGCTGCTTTCTGGACTCTGTATTTGCCACAATCTCTCCTCCTTCATTCAGATTCCAAGACAATAAAAGGCTTCGAATAATCTACTCTGATAGGATTAACTGGGAAGCATGAATTTCTGGCACACATTCATGGCAAAACCTACAGGGTTTGGTGGAACCCTCAATCGTGTAACCCCCATGTCTGAACTGAGGATGTGTGGCCGGCCTGCCAGGTGTGCTGTTTGCTGCCTGCTTTGGGGAAAGAGCATCAGAAAATCCTTACGGTCAGAGGTGCCTTCGGTTGCTGGTCCCGAGAAGTGCCAGGTTTGCAGTCCGCCCCCACAACTGCTGTCTCTGTGGCCCCTGTGGTCCCCATGGCCCCAGTGCCACCCTCAGGGGCTTCCTCCAGCTGCAGCAGGTTGAGCTGCAGGGGCGAGCTGCTGCGGGACTGGAATAGTGGCGGGGAGGCTCTACCCATGGCCGATGGTGGGGTGGCCCGGGTGCCTGGACAAGCGCATGGCTGTCTGGGGATCGAGGTCCGGCTGGGGAACTCGGGCTGTGAGGCAGAGGCCATCTCGGATGTGATTGTGGGGTGGCTCGGAAATTGAGGCTGACTGGGGAAGAAGGCCTGGGGTAGGTTTGGGGTCCCCGAGGGGAAGGAATAACCAGGTAGCATGAATGCCATGACAGGGGCCAAAGGGGCAGGGAAAGGTGGGGGCTGGACTGCAAACTGGTGCTGGAGGTCCACGGGCACCGCAGGCACTGCGAAACTGGCATGGGGAGGTGCGGGGGTTGTCGCCACAGTCCCTGGCGCTGGAAACACCGGCAGGGAATAAGCTGGCACTGGGGCAGGAAAGGGCACGGCCGGGCAGCTGGACTGGGACGTGTCCGAGGGTGACCAGGCTGTGGCGTTCAAGCCCATGAGTGGGGGCCGGGCGGGCAAGGGCCCCCCAGATCCGGTGCTCTCAGATGAGTCTCGAGGTTTGACCCGCTTGGACTTCAGTTTTCTGTTCTTTCCTGGTTTTCTCCAAGGTGAATCTATTCCGGAAGTATTTCTTAGTCCAGGGGCAGCTAATGCAGAAAAATAAATACTTGGAGTTAAAACTTTAACTCCAAATTTGAAGACACCTCTTTGTCCAACAGTCCTGGGTTTCCAAATGCTGGCCCAGGGCCCGCCTGGTCCACCAAGCAGTTTTCCCTGACCCTCAGTGAAGTGAGAAAAATCAGGGCAAAACATCAGGTTTTTTCATAAAACTAAATTGAATCAACTTAAAAGACAAACTCTTAATTGCAGGATCACATTCCTTATTTTCTTCTGGTATTAATGTCCTTTCTTTTATGAAATGCTAATATAGTAAGTGGTAACAAAAAGTTCTTTTTGTTAAATAAATACATTAAAAAGCTGTCACGTCTCTGCTGTTCCCCAGTATTTGCGGGAAAGAAATGGTTTGTGAAATCTGAAAGGTAGGAGCCACCGACCTCCTCTAGTTTTCAATTTATAAGCACTATCACTACTGTTCCTTAAAGAGCTTCCTCTTTCACCTGACAAACAGCCTGAGCAAGATCAGAGGAGACACTGCCTGGCAACCACATTCTTCTTCTGCAATGACAAGTGCTGTGGAGTAAGGCTTTCTTCAGGAAGATGGAGGGACTCAACTGGTAAAGGAGGGACTGTGGGTATGTCCCCATGGCCTCCCTGAGGAGTGGGAGGGGGATCCAGGGAACTCTCGGTTTCCTCTCACATCATGCAGAGTGACTGAACTCTTGCAGCAGGTGTGCGGGACATCTGTCAGCTGTGCCAAGGCGGTCCCATGCCTTTGGGATGTGCTGAAAGCAAATGGGCTAGTCCAATGCAAACTGCTATGTAAATGGAGGTTTTGCAATTCAGTCTATCTGGTGTCCTTCCCCAAGAAATCTGTCCCCTGGTGGGAACAGTGGCTAAAGCACTGGGTTCCTGGGATATCATGTATGGGTCTGGTAGGGCTGCCCTAGACAGCTCTGTAGACCGTGCACTGCATAAGGCTACGGAGTTGTCTAGGGGGCAAGCAAGAGCAGGAACTCGGTACTAGGCTGGTCCCATGGGGTGGGTCTTCTCAGGGCCATGGAAGGCACCTTTTTCTAATTTCTACAGAGGTTCTCTATGGGCTGGCCGTAATTCTTGAATCTGGGGAAGAGGGAAAGAAAGGAAAGAGTGGAGAAGACAAAATCCTTAAGGCAGCTGTAGGCTTAGTTTCTTACACATTTCCTTTTGTCTGTCTGCCCAGAGACCTGGGGGAGCTGGTTCCCTGTGGTGAGTGGCTTCCTGGGCTCACCGCCTCTGATCCCTGTGCCAGTGTCCCAGGGGGAATGGAAGAGGCAGCATCTCTAACAAGCGCAGGCCCTGTCTGGGGGTATGGGAAGGAACTGGGGGATCAGGAGCCAGATTCCTGAGCCAGGAAAGGGGTAAAGAAGCTCATCTATTTCACTTCATCCCTTGACCTTCGACCCTTGAAGTGGCACCTGGCCTACAGAGCGGCTTCCCACAGCATGACCATGGACTCTGCCCGACTATGGAGTCCGAAGCCCAGGCCTGAGGCTGGCCCCGTCAGGACGGTGCATCTCTTGGGGAGAAGGGCGCCATGAATGGTACGCCCCTCCTTCCTCATGTGCCCAGCACCACATGCCCATTATCTTGAGGTTGAATTAGCTGATTCTCTGGAGGTCCCATCCAGGTGAGGCCCCTGCCCACATGGTTACTCACGCAAGAAACGTGGACATGGCAGCACTGCCCTGCCATGGCTCTGCCCTCCCCGGGCACTAGCCTGGGACTATTCCCCGGGGAATGCGAGCTGACATCCTGAGAGCACTCCCCTGGTGGGAAGTTCTACAGAAATAGATGGTGTTGCCAGGGAAGTTCCAACAGCTGTCTTACATGTAAATGCTTCTGAAACTGGACACATTTCACATTTTGAAACCAGCACTGAACTCAGTACCAACAGGAATAAAATTTTTTAAAACCCACTTTTAATTTGGGTATCACTTACTTCGTTCACTTGGCTGCCCCTTGGATCTTTCTTGTAAGTAGTAATGGCAGTGGGACTGGAAAATACTGAGTTTTCTTATTTCTTTGAACTTCTGCAGGAAGCTCTGCTCCTCCTTCTGTGTGTGTGCAGCGAGCACCTCCTTGGTGAGGCCCAGCTTCTTGAAGGGCTCCTTCTCTTGGCTGAGACCACAGGCCAGGGCAGGGCCCACCAGGCAGTCCAGGGATTCTGGCCCACTCACAGCATCTTCCACCATCTCTGTAACACAAGAACCCAGGGCTCCAGTCCACACATGCCCTGTTTGTTTTAAGGCCACACTATATTCATGAACAAGACAAATCATTCACCTATAAAGTGACTTCACCATGCCTGTGGCATGAGGATGAAACTCACAATGTTTTCATTTAGCTTTCCGAGAAAATTCATGGCAAAAGGCAAGAAGCAGGGCAGGACAGCCCTGACAGCCAAGTGCTCAGGAACCTGGGGGCTGAACAAACTGAAACGTGGGGACCCTTGGGCTCAACTCTGCTGTTGAAGATATCCCTGGGCTGTCCTTAGCTTTCAGAACACCAGAAACTTGGGTCAATGTGCTGAGTCTTTCTGGGTTTGGGACCGGGCTTGGTGACAGTTGGGACCCTGTGGGCCCATGAGGCAGACAGGATAGGGGACAGGCAGGGCCACTGACCATCCTGAAAGGGAGGGCTTGGGGACCGGATCTTGGACATATACTTTTTCCTCATCATCTCCCTCTACCTAGTAAAGAACAAATTCAGGATTCATTTTAATCCTAATATTCTAAAAAACAAGAACACTCAGCCACCAATGCACTCATTGTCAATCTATTTGCCACCTGTACTGGTTCCTCCCACAAACAGGGAGGGCTAATGGTTGCACCTTCTGCTGGGCAGAGGAAAGACCCCCAAGGCCCGCCCAGGGAAGAGGGAGGTGGGGCCTCGCTCCCAGCGCTCTCTCTGCACCAATTAAAGGGGTAAGATCTTGCACCACAATTGACCCTCCCGCACTGATGCCAGAACAGACAACTGTCACCGGAGAGCACCACAGGGCAACAGGGACCAGGACAGGTTGCTGCCTGGGCCCTGGCTGGCCACACTCCACCCTGCATTTTACACAACTGGATTTCCTGAAATGCCCCCAATGGGCTATGGTGGGGTTCTTCTGCACTTAGAGAAAGAAAAATTTAAGATGGCAAACTTCTTGTTTTCATGTTTAAAAATCAGACTTCTCTCTGATCCAAGAGCCCATGGATGTACCTAATTCCGGCTGCGGCTTCTTGTCTCCCACATGGACGATGGTGCTGCTGTAGCTGCACTGGCTGGTGAGCGATGCCACACTCTCTGCCTTGCCCGGCAGTGCCAGTGAGGTCAGGTGCGTGCTGACTCCCGTGTGGCTGTTCACCCCGGAGGGCGGCTCTGCCTCTTCATGAGAGGAAGGGGGGAACAAACACAAGCATGCCATTACAATGCACTGTGCAGATGAGGAACTGACACCCGAGTGCCCATACAGCTTCCACACCAGGGTGCACACAACCCATCCCATCCCATCTCATCCCACAGATGCTCTGGCCCGGGCATGGGATGATTTGTCCCCAGTGTTTATTCATAGGAGAATAGTGGAGAAGAGCAAGTTCCGAAACGGGAGCAGTTACACACTTAAATCCTGAGTCCTCTGAGGGCAGGCGCAGCAGCTTGGCAGCTGCAGGGAACGCTTCGTGAGGGGCTCTTGCCTGTAGCCAGGCAGCCTTTCTTGCACGCCTGTGGGCGGGGGCTTTTCCGACAGTCAGGAGCCAACCATAATCTGGGATACTCTTTCTTTCTTTCTTTCTTTTTTTTTGAGATGGAGTCTTGCTCTGTCACCCAGGCTGGAGTGCAGTGGTGCAATCTTGGCTGCAACCTCTGCCTGCCAGGTTCAAGAGATTCTCCTGCCTCAGCCTCCCAAATAGCTGGGATTACAGGCATGTGCCATGATGCCCGGCTAATTTTTATATTTTTAGTAGAGATGTGGTTTCACCATGTTGGCCAGGCTGGTCTCAAACTCCTGACCTCAAGTGATCCACCCACCTCGGCCTCCCAAAGTGCTGGGATTACAGGCATGAGCCACCGCGCCCAGCTGGGGTACCGTTTTTAAACCTGGTGGCGAACATCAGCAACACTGACAGCGTTTAAGCAGCCTGGGATTTAATGTAATTTCTGGGGCATGTTAACATTCAGGGACAAGGGACCCTCTGAGACACACTGGAAAGAAGGCCTGCTCTAGACTGACAACTCGAGACCAGTGTGGCTCCATGAGGGGGGTCAGGGGACGGCCCCAGGCCTCCAGCAGCCCCACTGGGTTCCTGTTCTCAAAGCCACGGCTCTGACAGAACCATCTTTGCTTCTAGCTCCTAAGAAGGGTGCTGACTTTTGAACTACTTTCATCATGTGAAGAAGAGCCTACCACCCTTACACTGTGTCCACAGAAGCCACAGGGACATCTAGTCTCTCCAGAGACTATTACATTATTCCACGTGTGCATGGCTCTGAACAGGTTAGATACCTCCGGCATGTGGCCCTGGGCTGACTGTGGCCTTCCGCTTATCACTGGACCTTAGCGTTGGGACGTTTGCTGGGAACTCGCATTTCCTCTTCAGGGTGGCAGCCTCATTGCAGCTCTCCAAGTACCTGTGTGAAGGGCATGAACCCCGGGTGAGGCCACACAACACGAGAGGTGGGAAGGTGCGTGAGATGGTGGAGACTCGGCTGGAAGTGCCGGTGTACCTGATGACGCTGTCCAAGCAGCTGATCTGCTGGTAGGAGCAGGTGGGCTGGTCCTTGCAGGCCAACTCCTCGGGGAAGCTGGCCCCCAGGCTGTCCTTTTCCACGGCAGGGACAGCTTTCATCTCAGCTGGGGGATTAGTTTGCATTTCTGAAGGAATGGCAAAATTGTTCTTTCATTAATTTTTCTCCCAAAGAAAACGCTGTGTATTTAGAAAGCATTTTCGTTCTACCTGAAGACAGGGCTGGGGGCTCAGAATCTGCTTCATGGGTATGGAAGCCTGGGGACAGCCTGGCATCTGGCAGCCCTGTGGGCACGAGCACCACAGTGCCGTCCACAGAGAGACCTAGGAGGGAGCTGCTGCCCAGCCTGGTGTCTGCTTCTCTCTGGGGTCTAGGCTGTCCCCAGGGGTCAGGGACTCAGCAGTGGGAGACACCAGTTCTCACGTGAACTCTTAAACTTTCAGGGCGAGAGCCCACGTACTTTACGCTCCTCCTGGGCCAGGCCAGTTTTCAAGGTGATCCCTGCTAGTAACAATTATGATGGCAACTGCCTCCTCACTGCGCTGTGGATTTGACTCTTGCCCCCACAACATTCATCACGTGCCTGTCCCCTAGGGGCCCTCAAGCAAAGAGCTGTGTCCAGCTCATTAATGTGTCCCCAACACCCAGCACAGAGCCCAGGAGGCCGCATGTCCACCAACACATCCCTAAGGCCAAAAGTCCTAGCGGTGTCTGGCCAGAGTGTTCTCCACAGGAGACTTTGGCCTGAGCACAGAGAATGAGCAAGGGCCCACCAGGGGAGGGGACTGGGATGCATGCATGTGTACACACACGTGTCTATGTGCATGCTGTGTGAGAAATGCATGCGGGACAGAGGAGCAGCATGAACCTGAACCCACGCATGACAGCATGAAGCTGCCTGGGAAGTATGGTGCTGTGATGAGGAAAGGGCTGCGGCAGTGGGGGTGGGCTGGCAGCCCCTGGGTGGTACTCTCCACTTCAGACAGGTTTGGTTGGAGTGTATGTGGATGCTAGGCAGGCTGTCGGCAGTTGTCTGTGTGTGTGTGAGTGAAGGGTGTGCAAGTGTAAACACACAGCCATACAGCCACTCTGTACAGCAAGAACGAGCGGCCCAGGCACACCCAGCGGGCAGGCCAGGGTGCAGGAAGGCACACCTGGCCACAGCTCCCCAGGCCTGCACACCTAGCCACACCCCGCCAGGCCTGCAGGGCGTCAGGCGCCCAGTGTGGACATCAGTGCTTGCACTGGCTGAGTGCAGAGAACTGGGCTGCTCTCGCCTCTTGGAAGCTGAAGACTGTGCTGAACACAGAGGAGGGTGTGGCACGGCTACAAGGCAGACTCCCTGCCAGCCAGAGTCAGCATTCAACCCGGCTTCCCTCTTCTCCCATGGCCATACTCTAGTTTCAGTAAGGAAATGTTGAATTTTTTTTTTTTTTACCTGTAACGGAATTTTTCTTTTGTTCTCCAGATTCAAGAGAATAAAGACTTCTATTTTTCGTCTTGTTACCATTTTTATAAATTTCCTTGAAGAAAAACAAAATGAACACGTTATTCATTCTAGGAGACCTCCTTCAGTTTGTCCCCCAAAGTGAGAACAGAGGATGGCTGAAATCATTTCAGCAACACAGAAGGAAATTGTGAATAAGAAATCTGACAGGTGCAGAGCTAAATAAAACCTATTTGATGATCCTAAAGAGTAATAAAAATAAAGCAAAACGGCACATTACATTTTCTTCTTTTTTTTTTCTTAGACAGAGTCTCACTCTGTTACCCAGGCTAAAGTGCAATGGTGCAATCTTGTCTCACTGCAACCTCTGCCTCACGAGTTCAAGCCATTCTCGTGCCTCAGCCTCTCGAGTAGCTAGGATTACAGGGGCCCGTCATCATGCCCGGCTAACATTTGTATTTTTAGTAGAGATGGGGTTTCACCATGTTGCCCAGGCTATTCTTGAACTCCTGACCTCAGGTGATCTACCTGCCTCAGCCTCCCAAAGTGCTGGGATTACAGGCGTGAGTCACTGCACCCAGCCCACATTTTCTTCTTTCTATCCTAGTTAAATCTTCACTTTTGTTTGTTTTGTCTGTTTTAAATAATTTTCAACCAAACACTTAGCTATGGTTTCTAGCTTTTTCAACTCTTAAGAGATTAAAACGTCCCAAGTGAACAAAGTTTAGAAAGGAAGCAGAAACAGCTGCGATGATGACGCCTCTCCTAACTGCCAAAGGTTGTCCTGAGTGTGCTTTCTAACTCTGGAGGGACATCCACAAACGCATTTTCACAGGGAGAACGGAAGGGGACGTACAGCTCTCCTCCGGCGTGAGTCCTCGTGGCCGTTGCTGTCGCTGGAGGAGGTCTGGCTCATGAGGTGCTCGTGGGACCCGTTGCTGCCCAGACTCCCGTAGCCACTGGAGCCGCTGTGGGGGACGGGCTGGGGAGACAGCAGACAGTGCTACAGACACAGCCAGGGCTGCTGAGTTGCACATGTGGCCCCCTGCCAACACACCCTGTTTCACAGAGAGGATGGTGCCCTGCCTAAGGCTACATGACAAAGACCAGGGGAGCTGGGGTTTGAACCCCAGGGTCAGCTCCAGAGGTTGACTCCTGGCCTCCAGCCGCGGTGCCCCGACCCAGACATGCAGTCACTGAGAAGACGGCACCAAAGGCATGTGTCCAACCCACTCATCAACGCATGGCTGCAGCCAGCCGCACCTCTGTGGAGGGGTTTAAAACAAACAAGATGCGATGACAGCTTCACTCCACAGCCTCCGGGAACTGAGACGCAGACACCTACTCAGGCGTGGGGTTGACTGCGATGGGCCTGATTTTTTAAGGGACCTTGAGTACAAAGTCCCGTCCCTAAGTCCCACTGCTCTGGATTAGAATGAGCCCCCACACCACTGAGAGGTCACTCTGGGACTATGCAGCCTGTGTCAGAGCACGGGGTCTGCACATGTCCTTCAGCCGCTCACTCAGGGCTGCGGTTCAGACAATGTTGAATGCAAGGCTGGAGAGAGCCAAGGGTACTGTGGACTGTCTCAGACTAGCACAGTCTATGCCCAAACTGTCCCCTGAGGGATGTTCAGAGAATGACAGATGAAGTTGTCTGAGTGGGTATGCCAGGACCAGGGTGCAGAGCCTATGTCCTCTGCAGGCGGCTCTCAGGCTGCTACCTGGGAGGAGGGCATGCAGGCACCACACGCACCTGCAGCAGGAGCCGGTGGATCTGCTCCGTGAGCTCCTGAACGCTGGGGTGCAGGGCCTTCTCCTCTGTGCAAGGGTGGGCTGCAAACACGTCCTCATTCAAAGGGCCCCTGCGTGGTTTTAATTCATCTTGTTAGATGGGGCCCCACAGGAGGACCTCTCTGGCGTGACTGTATAGCCACTACATGCTGCCTGCCTGGGTGGGCCCTCTGCCTCTCCCCTGTAGCCCCCCAGGCTGCTGCCTGCCCACTCCCTACTCGGCCTGAATGAGGTCCCTCCCACCTGGGGCAGAGGACAGGTCACCCCTGCCTACCAGCCTGGGGCTCCAGACTAGTGGCAGGAGGCGAGGTTTCGGTCTTGGCCTCTCAGCCCCTCCCTATACCATCTGTTGCTGGGAGGTAAGGACAGCCCAAGACCCCCACCCGAGACCCCTGAGCCACCTCAGGCCCTTGGAGCACTCACACCCTGACTTTGTGCCTCCCAATGATGAAGGAGATTTTCCTGCTCCATGGGTTGATGAAGCTGGACCAGCTGGTATCCAGCGTGATGTACTCCCCGTTCCGGGTGCGAAACCGAATGGGAGAGTAGTCGAAAGGCTGCCCGCCCGACTGCAGGACTAGGAGAGCAAAAGCCAGCATTCAGGGGAACAGGGGAGCAAACAGTAGACAGGGACAAGTCAAGATTCACTCAGGCCCGGGATCATTTCCAAACGTTAGGGGTATGAACACTTCTTCAAAGTCACTGCTTTCAGCCTCCCATTTTTGCTGTAGATTACAACCAGGAGGCTGTTTCCAGCAGAAGCGGTTTCATCCCATGTTTCACCTCTGCTAGAGTGTCACTTGTGTCTATGAGGGCTGGGCTTGATGAGGACATGCACTGCACTCCCCTGGCCTGGTCAGAACCTTCCTAGCCACAGATGAATTGGTCTCCCCTCCTCCCATGCACCACTGAAGCCAAGAGTAAACACGAGATGCCACGGACTCAGGCCACGGACTGAGAAACAATTGGCCACAAAGGAACTCACATGAGTTTACCCCTCTCTCTTGACTCCACTGGGCACTGCAGTGCCAGGAGTGAGGTGGCGAGGCGAGCGTCTACCACCTGCTTGTCCTTAGCTGATCTGACCTGTCAGAGCTAGACTGGTCCCAAGAAGAAGCCCCAAGGGCACACGAACTTCCGCCCAACACTTTAGGAGGTACCGTGAAAAGGGGACCTACTCTTTTTGTGGATGGCCAGCATCAAGGGCCTGTCACTAGGGTGGAGCTGCACGAGCACTGGGGTCTCAATCAGGTCCTGAGGTAGGTAGCCCAGGAGAGGGACCGCCCTGGAAGGCAAGCAGACATGCTAGGATCGGCGTCCAAACAGCAGAGGAGACTGTCACTAAGAACCATCTTATTCCCTGGAAAGAGAAGATACACTCCAAATCCCACCCCCGACCCCCGGAGGTCAAAATGTGGAAGCTGGACTAACAGAACCAGTTAGACTTCCAATCAATAGCAAACGAAGGTCCAGTGTCCAGGACGCCGAAAGAGGCTCCCTCTGCTGGAGCCTGAGTGCTTCGGCTCTGCGTTTCACCTCCCAAAAGGTAAGTCATGATCATGCTTTTGTTTTCTTCCTTCTGGCATCTTTTTCTTTTTCTGTGTCATTTATTAGTTTGGCCACACGGGGCCTGGCATGGATTTTTGATTAACAAGTTTTGCCTGGACCTCGGCAAACCCTTTGTATGTGCTTCTTTTCCAGCCTGGTCTCATGTGACTTTGGCCTCAGCATCCAGTTGGTTTACTGTGGCTTCTCTGGAGTCTCGGTGGCTGGCTGGGCCTCTGCCCTGTGTGCTCATGCCTCCTCCCGGAGCTGTGGCTTTGCTCCCTTGCAGGACGGAGCTGAACTTCAGCAGCACCTTCTGCTTCTGTTTGTGTCCGGCGCCCTCTGCCGGCTCCGCCGACCATTTCTTCTCCCGAGCTGCCTCTTCACACTTGTTGCATCCAAACCCACGTTTCCTCAAACTCTGCTGCTTGAGGGAAGGTTTTCACTGTCAATCTTTAGACCATGGTGCAGACCTTTCTCAAGGGCCTGGCGTTATTCTTTGATTTCCTCCTTGTCTGAGGCTCTCTCTTCAGGCCTCATGTTTTCCTTTGGACAGGATATATAAAATGTTCCTGGCATTGGCCCCATCAAGGCCTTGCTGAAGGACGAAGAGGAAGGAAGAGGAGAGGAGCGGGGGAACAGGAAGGAAACAGAGGGGGAGGAGGAAGAGGAGGGAGAAGAAAAGGGGTAGAGGGTGAAAAGAAGGAGGGGAGGGGAGGGGGAGCCCTGGCCACCTGCTCTGGCTGGCCTTGGGCTCTATGAGCCAGGCCGCACACAAGGCTTCATCAAGGGGAGCTTGCAGGCTGTGGCCCATCACGCCAGGTGCACCTGTCTGCCAACCTCCCTGCACAGGGCTGAGCTGGACACCAAGTTGGCACGGGAGTGGGTTACAGACAGTCTCAGATCTCTGAAGGAAAAGTCTCCCGAGGCTGCTTTACATATACGGCCCCAGGCCCTGTCCTCCAAGATCCTGGTTCTGCCGGGCAGGGTGGTATCCAGAAGCCTGCATCTGCAAACTGGCTCTGCCCCAGGCAGCCCTGCGGACACACCTGAGCCACCTGGAGCTGGAAGTGACGGATCCCTTTTTACCCACAGAGCCTCCCCAGAAGGCTGTGTGGCCCCAACTCCAAAGGTGGGGGCCTGTGTCCCTGGGCCAAGAGTAGAGGAGGGAGAAGCCTTGATCCTCCAGCTTCCAGGAGATGACCTGGTTCATTTTAGGAACCCAGCACGCCGGTGCTTCTTGGTCCACTTCCTGTGCTATCTTCCGAGGTCACTTTTCCGTGACTACTGCCAGTGGCCCACACGTTTCTTTCTTTCTTTTTTGTTTTTGGAGACAGTGTCTTTTGCTGTGACCCAGGCTGGAGTGCAGTGGTGCAACACAGTAGCCTTGAACTCCTAGGCTCAAGTGATCCCCCTGCCTCAGCCTCTGAGTAGCTGGGACTACAGGTGCACAACACCACACCCAGCTAATTTTTATTTTTATTTTTATGCAGAGACAGGGTCTTGCTATGTTTTGAACTCCTGGTTTCAAACAGGCTGGTTTCAAACTCCTGGCCTCAAGCGATCCTCCTATCTCAGCTTCTCGGAGTGCTAGGATTGTAAGCGTGAGCCACCGCACCCAGCTGGCGCAAGTGTTTTCGGAGTCTTCATGAATTTGTGGAGGAGCTGGGAGAAGATACACGGTGGTGGCAGAAGCCACTCAGAACATGGGTGCCCTCAAATCTCACTAGGATCGGGGGAGACCCAGAAAGAGGGACCTGAATGGGGCTCTGAGGCATGGAGAATATCCTGTCCCCTGGAGAAGCCTCGAGCACACAGGCTGGAAGATGGACTTCTGCTGGGATCCAGCCAATGGCATCTCCAGCTTCCACCCTGACACTGGTCCCAGGCAACACCGCCTCTGTCTGGACCATCGTCTACTCTGAATGGGTTTACATGGGAGAATTAAGACAGGCTCAATTAGAACAATCACCAGCTCTCCAGAAAGCCTCAATTATACCATGTGCATATCTTAGAAAGTTTTCAGTGTAATTCCATAGCTATTTAATTGCCTGTATATAAGTTTTTGTCCATTATCACGTAATTATAAAACCAATATGCAGTCTTGGTTTTAGCTAAATAGCTTTTATATCAAAAACATGAAAAAGGGGGTGGGTCAAGACCACATACCTTTCATCCACATCCTGGAACAAACAATTTGGTGTATGGGTGGTTGTAAAAATTCTCTTTTCAGGAGGTATTCTAGGGGCTGAAAGAATAGAATATTGCACACATTAGTGATCCTAAGAAGTACATATTTAATGTTATATTAAAACTACCAGAAAACACCCTGTAGATTCAGAGTAATGAGCAGCTAAAGAAAAAAATTAAACCATGGACTCTGAACAACAGAGCCTGCCACACTGAGAACCCTACGCTGGCTGTGGGATCACCGGCCAGCCTTCTCAGCTTCTACGGAATGCTAGTTTTAGTCTAGTAAATTGAAACTGCCATGTTAACAAAACCACACGGACCACGTAAACGCTACTCTCAGCAAAATAAAGCTGGAAGTCCATCTTTATGATTTTTTTTTTTTTTTTTTGAGACAGAGTCTTGCTTCGTTGCCCAGGCTGGAGTGCAGTGGCACGATCTCGGCTCATTGCAACCTCTGCCTCCCAGGTTCAAGCGATTCTCCTGCCTCAGCTTCCCCAGTAGTTGGGACTACAGGCGCGTGCCACCATGCCCGGCTAATTTTTTGTATTTTTAGTTGAGGTGGGGTTTCACTGTGTTAGCCAGGATGGTCTCAATCTCCTGACCTCATGATCCGCCCGCCTCGGCCTCCCAAAGTGCTGGGATTACAGGTGTGAGCCACCACGCCCGGCCCCATCTTTATGATGTTTAAGATGAAACTAGAGTGATCTGACGAATTACTTTTAGAAAAGTGAGTTACATACTTGGATTCAAATTTCTTTTTTTTTTTTAATGAGACAGGGTCTCATTATGTTGCCCAGGATGGTCTCAAATGCCCAGGCTCAAAAGATCCTCCCACCTTAGCCTCCCAAAGTGCCAGGCTACAGACTACAGGTATGAGCCACTGCACCTGGTCTGGATTCAGATTTCTTAGCAAATGCCATTGTACTGGAGAGCTTCACAGTTTAGAAACTAGATAAAGGTGGACAAAGGTGATAGAGTAATTTGCATAAAGTGAGTCATATGTCCAAAATTTTCCTCAATTCATGGACAAAACATTCAAAATTTCAACATTTTTCCTTCTTGAAGGAGACTCTGGTAATTTGGGGGAATAACTTGTTGAACCCTAAGTACCCTTTCTAAACCTTACTATTTGGAAAAGAACATTCTGTAATACATGCAGGAACACATCAAACATTGTGGAGAAAGTCACATACTTAAAATATTTCTATCACTTTTAAGAAGTGCTTTTTTAAAAGGCTGTCAACTTGGCCTGGCGCAGTGGCTCACAAATGTAATCCCAGCACTTTGGGAGGCCAAGACAGGTGGATTGCCTGAGCTCAGGAGTTCGAGATCAGCCTGGGCAACATGGTGAAATCCCGTCTCTACTAAAATATTAAAAAAAAATTAGTTGGGTATGGCAGCATCCACCTGTAGTCCTAGGTACTCGGGAGGCTGAGGCAGGAGAATTGCTAGAACCTGGGAGGCGGAGGTTGCGGTGAGCCGAGATAGCATCACTGCACTCCAGCCTGGGCGACAGAGCGAGACTCCATCTCAAAAAAAAAAAAAGCTGCCATTCACCACAGAGAAGGTGGTAAGCACAGCGCAGCACGGACTCAGCTGGATTCCCCGGGTTCAGCAGCTGCAGAATGCACCTGCCTTCAGAGAATCTGAAGATCATTTGACTTGCTCAGCAGCCATGGTGAGCACCTACAGTTCCTGGCCAGGGATTTCGGCCAATACAAGGACCAAGATGCCACAAAGCAAGATCTTAAGAGGGACCACAGGAAGGACTCATAAAGGTGGCACAATGCCTTGTACCCTCTGCGCTTCAAGAGAAGAACCCAGATATTATTTTGGGGGTGGGGTAGCCAGAAGAGCTAATGGGACCAAGAGGGTCATAGTGAGGCGAGTTGGCCTGATGACTGCACTCTGCGAGTGAGGTGGCAGCAGGAGCAGAGACCGGGGTCCAGAATGCTGGGCATACAGAGGCACAGCAAGCCTTGTATGGAGGCTGACTCACCTGGAGAGTCATGTCCGTGCATGACTGTCTGGGAGGAAGGGAAATTCCAGGAAAATTTAGGATAGGTCAAGGTGGAGAGGGAGGGATGCCCAGCACTTCATTTCTTGGGGCCTGAGGAACTGTTTGGGGTTCTGGAGCAGGCAGCGACATCAGTGCCCTTCAGAGGGGCCCAAGAGGCTGAGGTATGGGGCAGGGGATGAGGATGGGAGGGATGTGGGGCCCCAGACCTGTCGGGGCTATTCCCACTTTGTGGACAAAAGGCAGAGCAGCCAGGGAAAGGGGAGAAGGGTCACAGCACTGGTGTGCACAGGGGTGAGAGATGCTGGCACCCAGATGCCGTGATCTTCCATGGGGAGGGCTGGATGACAAGCAGGGTGTACTGAGTCTCCAAAAAGATGGAGACCCTGCCCGAGGTGAGGTGCAGAAGCCAAGGGTGGGGAACTGCAGTTGGGAGTCCATTGTATAGATATCATGTTTGAACCACAAGAGTAACTGAGGGGGAGCCAGAGACAACATCTGCCCTCGCCCTGGGCTTGGCTGTTACCTTCATAACCAGAGTGCACTCTCTCTGCCAGCAGAAGGCAGCAAAGCTGACTCTCAGCACCTTGTTGCTCCCGCACCTTGACCAGGTAGGGCGTCATGCGGAAGGGGTGGTAGCGGATTTCGTTCTCGTGGCTTTTCCCGACACTGTGGAGAAGGGCCACGCTCAAAGTTTGGAACTGTGACACAGGAACAGTCCCCTGTTCTGTTCCCTCCTCACCTGGGCCCCATGCCACGCTGCAGGTGATGTGTACCTCTGCTCTGCCTGAGGAGCTGGGCCTGCTCCCCTGCCCGCTTCAGTCCCTCCCTCAGTCTCATCACACTGAAGGGCAAATCAGAGTCAATACCCCCACCAGTGGGAACGCTCCACAGCCCTTCTCTGGAGCAGCCTGCACTCTGGGTGGGTAAAGCAGACCGGAAAGATGTGCTGCTCCCTCCAGGACCTCGGCCCTGACTCATGAGGGTGCCAGGGTCTGGTTCAGGGCCACCCCCGACAGTGCGGCTGGATGCTCAATCAGTCACCCTGGTTTGGACCAAGACTCTTGTGGGGAAAGCTGTGGGTCTCTCCCCAGAAAAAGGCACAGACAACCAAAAGATGCAGTGCTTTCAGAAACTCTGTTGACCCTGGGTACAGGCCTCCGCAGGAGACAAAGAGAAAGTACAGGGTCCCCTGGCCACCATTTTCCATGAGGGGCAGGTTAAATCACTCCCCTGCTGGCCGCATTCTTAGCAACCTGTACACATTTAAAATGCAACTGACTGTGTTTTCTGGTAGACTTCAGAAACAGGCGTGCTGGGTCCCTGCAGGCAGGGCTCATGCCCCCCAGCCTCAAGTGGAGCGGCACTGGGGTGAAATGTTTGTATGGTTTTCTATAAGAAAACTGGGAACAAGGTTTACCTGACACGGCAAAAGAAAGATTTCTCCTCCATGCATTCTTGAGTAAAAGAATCTAGAAGAAAGAGCCCAAAGTCATTCATCCAAATCAACAACTAAATACACTGTTCCTCATTTCTCACAAACAAAAGAGGAGCAGCGGAATCAAGCAAGAGCCAAGGTGAAAACTGAAAATTTATGGAAGCACAAACTAAATCCTTTATGTAAGAAACCTTCTATTACATTTTTGACTAAAATTACATACACTTCATGAGTGTGGTGCATTCCAAACTAAATTTTAGCACCAGGAGGCTTACATTTTCTTTCTTTTTTTTTTTTTTTTTTTTGAGACAGAGTCTCGCTCTGTCACCCAGGCTGGAGTGCAGTGGCCGGATCTCAGCTCACTGCAAGCTCCGCCTCCCGGGTTCACGCCATTCTCCTGCCTCAGCCTCCCAAGTAGCTGGGACTACAGGTGCCTGCCACCTCGCCCGGCTAAGTTTTTGTATTTTTAGTAGAGACGGGGTTTCACTGTGTTAGCCAGGATGGTCTCGATCTCCTGACCTCATGATCCGCCCGTCTCGGCCTCCCAAAGTGCTGGGATTACAGGCTTGAGCCACCGCGCCCGGCCAGCTTACATTTTCAAAACGGTGTATGATGCTGCTGCAAACACATCAATTAATTAACAACTGAACACACTCATGGTGCACTGCTGCAAACACACCAAATAGCCTACAACTGAGCACACTCATGATGCACTGCTGCAAACACACCAACCTACAACTGAACACACTCACAGTGCACTGCTGCAAACACAGTAACCTACAACTGAACACACTCACGGTGCACTGCTGCAAACACAGCAACCTACAACTGAACACACTCACGGTGCACTGCTGCAAACACACCAACGAAGCACACTCACAGAAGTCCAGAACATCGACAAAGAAAGCTGTGAAGGCCACAGCAGCTACATCTTGGAAGCCAAGCCTCCATGCTGACTTTTGATTAACCCCAGTTCTGGGAAGGCCTTGGAGATTTCATTTACCTACTGTCCCTGAGTAAGAGCAGGTGCTTAAGGTAAATCCTGCCCTGAGGGCAAATTCCTCCCGGTTCCCTCTGAAGCTTGTGTGCCCGTCCCATAGAAGCCCTAGGTCTGGGGGAATGGCACTGGGATCCAGTCTTGTCTCATCGCCACCCACAACACGCACAGCTTCTGTTCTTAAGTCCCTGTTAAATACTTCTTTCTAAGAAACTGAATTTGTCAGCCTCTTTCTTTGGCCACTCAGCTGCCTCAGACTTTGGGGTAGGTGTGCAGAGGTCTGGCCACAGTGAAACAGAAACCCAAACATTTAGTGCTGACATAATTTTGGGATAGTCAGTTCTAACAGAAATAACTTGGCATTTAAGGCTTACATTGGTATTTTGGTGAAACAGTAACTTCCTTTAAAATATGAAATGTCTAGTGAAAATATGAAATCAATCAGGCAACCTCATCAGAAATGAAGGAAGAGGTGTTTCCCTAAGAGTTGAAAGGGATTTTAAAAAAAGAAATCTCTGCTTTCGTGGGAATCTAAACTAAAAAAAAAAAAAACTTAGATCTAGGTCTTTCATATAACATTTCGTCTACTCAAAAGAAATTAGGAAAGCAGAAGCAATGACTAGTTACAGAAAATGATACAAAATCAGCAGCTTGGAAAGGCCCCTGAGAATTCACCTAGTCCTTGACTTAGCTGGGCAGGGAGGAGCTGGGGCACAGGAGGCCTTGAGGAGAGTGGGGGTCGGAGGCACTGGCAGAGGCCCAGAGGCAGGCACGCCCCCAGCTGGCTCTAGGGACTTGACCAGACCTGGCTGGGAGGGCCTGGCTGGGGAGTGGAGCCTGGAAATGAGGCAGGGTAGATGATAGCTACAGTGGCAGGCCTGGCAGCTAGGAAGGCTGCCACCCACAGTGCAGCACACTTGGCCTGCAGTGCCTCGGGGGCCAGTGGCATCTGCCTAGGGACCTCACAGTCTATATACCCAAAGCCAGCCCTGGTCAAGGCAAAGAACCCTCAGGAAGTCATTCTGGGACATGACCCACTCACTGGTTGTAGCTGCCAAGGTGGTAGGGGGATGCCTGAGTGCAGGGAGCAGGGCGCCTTGCTCATGCTCCCCACTGCCCCCCGACCCGGCCTCCCACGACTGCAACTGCAGCAAGATTCCAGCTTTTCAAAACAACTTCATTTCTAAAATTCTCAACGGTTTCTCTCTCTGAAATGTATGAAAAGACTATTTTAACTAAATTTATTCTGAAGAGATGAACAACTGCTTATCCTTTACCTTTGCCAGAGCAGGCAGCTGGTGGCCCCCACAGGTGGGCTCTGAAAGGTGAGGTAGGGCACCTGCACCACATCTGGGGTGGGCCCAGCTCCTGGCCCCTTTCCAGACCCCAGAGGAAACAAGGCACTACCTCGATGACCTCACCTGCTCCGCTGCACACGCTCCACAAGGGAAGCTTGTACGGGGAGGTGAAGCTGTGGAACACGCCCACATCGTGAGGCGCCAGGAACTCCACAAACTTGGTGTCGCTGAAGGCATCTCTTTTATAGTGAAATATGGATGCAACCTGGTCAGAGATGTACAAGATCTTCCCAGACACCAGGGACACGGCCACAGCAAACATATCCTGAAAAGGAAGAGTAGGGCTCTGGTGACAAGGTCAGACGGGGTTGGCCGCCACATCCGACTCAGGCAGGCAGGCTGGAGGGAACCGCCCACCAGGAGTGTCAGAGGTGGGGGGCTCTCTGAGCCCCTTGCCTAGCCCTGACCAAAAAATCCTATCTTGCCTGTTGACAGAGCAGGAGCATTGCCATCTTGGACAAGCCCCTCATTCTAAAGTTCACCTACATCCAAAGGGCATCAGCCTAATGGCTAAGGTCAACATGACCATAAACCACAAGTACATCTCCAACCAGAAACATTCCAAACTCCTCCCCGACCAGAGACACGCTAGCCCCGAGATAACCCCACTCCAGGACCCGGAAAGATACCTGTCCCAAGATAACCTCCCCCTCCCAGAGACGGTCCAGCCCCGCCATAAACTCCTCCAACACACAAACATTCCAGGCTTGCGATAAGCCCCTCACCCTGAAACCAACATATACTCTCAGTCTGCAGAGAAAGCGCTCCTGATCAAAATCGGCCAGGAGCACTTCTCAGGTTTTCACTAAAGGAAACCTGTCTTTGACTGCCAAGCTGCATTTCATGTTTCTTTCCTCTTTAACTCTTACACCTGTTACAGATATTGGGAGGTCCAACATGATATTATTCGAAACAACACATCAGGGTTCTATTGCTGGAATAAACTCCAGCTGTCTCCACCCACTGGAAGGCGCCACTCACCCCACTGTCTTGGACATGGCACCTGGTGTCCAGGCTGGGTGACAGGGAGGTGGGGGACCCTCTGCTCACTTGGCCTGCCCCAACAACCTCTACCAGCCTTGCTCTCTCCCAGGGTTCTAGGGGCTTCCTGGGGAGCAGAGGTCTCTGGGTGGGCCCCTCCAGCCCACCATGGGCACTCTGCTGCTGGCTGGCCCTCTGGGCTCAGGGTTGGGGGCTGCCTGGGGGTTACGCTGGAGGAAGATGGGAAGGATTAGGGAGCCCTGTTATGAGGCCAGCTTCACAATGGTCCCAGCACACGTGGGGTCCCCGCTGGCCCTTACATCTGTTCTCACTGGCTGAGAACTCAGGGTGGTAGAGCAGGTGTGTGTGTATGTGGCCCATGCGCCCTCCAAGGGGCCCACCTTTGGGTGTGCTTAAAAATGCATGGTTTTTGGAGTCTCCAATCCCAGCTCCCCCTCATGACTGCAAAGCCCTGGACAAGTGAACTGACTGTCACCAAGTCTGTCTCCTTACCTTGAGGACATGAAAACCCAGAGCCCCCCAGTTCAGTCACAGTGGATTTGTCCTTGCACCCATGAGCTACAGGACAAAGTTGGGCAGGGACGAAGAAGACAGTCTCACAGAAGGCAGAAGTCCAGAACATGAATGCCACTTCCAGAATCACTGACTTCACATTCTTCCTTTTAAAGGTAGGAACTTATCTGCTGAAACCCCAAACGTTCCTGCCTTATAGCCACTGGCCACTGCTCTGAGCTAGCTCGCCTGGAGGAGGAACTCCCGCCGTTTAGAAAGAAACTTCGGGAAGAGGCTTACGGCATTCTTCACAATGTGCTCAGAGGTAACGCTCTCCATCTCCTCCACAGTGTAGGAGGGCACGTCTGATCCACAGGGGTGACCCTCGCTGGACATCAGCAGCTGGTAATACTCTTCGTTGGCTGCAGGATAGACAGTGCTCACACTCAGCGGGCAGAACCCAGCACTTGGCCGGAGATAGTCACTAGCTCTTACGAACTGGGGGCTCTATTTTCTCAAATGAAAAGGTAGGATATAAATCCCGTCTTCCTGGGACACAGAACACACGGATACGCGAAGGCAAAACAAACTCACAAACAGAAATCAGGATATTTTTCCCTGAAACATCAGAAGGCCTTTGATTATAAAATTTTTTAAATGTGGCAACTACATTATTTAAGGTTACATGGTCAGAGTTCCAGCTACCTCTCACGTTCTCCAGAAGGGGCTTCTTTTTTTTTTTTTTTTTGAGATGGATTTTTGCTTTCGTAACCCAGGCTGGAGTGCAATGGCGCAATCTAGGCTCATTACAACTTCCGCCTCCCAGGTTCAAGCAATTCTCTCGCCTCAGCCTCCCAAGTAGCTGGGATTACAGGAACCCGCCACTACAACCAGCTAATTATTCTTGTTTTTGTTTTTGTTTTTCCGCTCTGTCGCCCAGGCTGGAGTGCAGGGGCCGGATTTCAGCTCACTGCAAGCTCCACCTCCCAGGTTCACGCCATTCTCCTGCCTCAGCCTCCCGAGTAGCTGGGACTACAGGCGCCCGCCACCTCGCCCGGCTAGTTTTTTGTATTTTTTAGTAGAGATGGGGTTTCACCGTGTTAGCCAGGATGGTCTCGATCTCCTGACCTCGTGATCCACCCGTCTCGGCCTCCCAAAGTGCTGGGATTACAGGCTTGAGCCACCGCGCCCAGCCCCATTTGTTTTGTTTTGAGATGGAGCCTCACTCTGTCGCCAGGCTGGAGTACAGTGGCGTGATCTCACCTCACTGCAACCCCCACCTCCCAGGGGTTCAAGCAATTCTCCTGCCTCAGCCTCCCAAGTAGCTGGGACTACAGGTGCATGCCACCACGCCGAGCTAATTTTTGTATTTTTAGTAGAGACGAGGTTTCACCATGTTGGCCAGGATGGTCTCGATCTCTTGACCTTGTGATCTGCCCGCCTTGGCCTCCCAAAGTGCTGGGATTACAGGCGTGAGCCACTGTGCCTGGCCTCCAGAAGGTCTTTAATCATTATGGTACATCCACGTTTCCACACAGGACCACATGGCAACCCCTGCACATCTGACTCCCTGGGTGATGCCATCAGACACCCCCATCCAGGCAGAACTGACTGCTTAAAAAAATAGCAGGCACAAGAACATTTGAAAGAAAGTTTTCAAAATAGAATCTGAAGAGGAGGGGGCCACTCCATCTGAGTTCCCACGCCATCCTGGCTTATCCAGTGGGCTCTGGGGTGACAAGCCTGTCTCTGGGTGTCGGTGCTCACGGCCACAGCGGCCCTCACTCCAGGCGGGAGCAAAGGGGCCAGCTCGAGGCTGCCACTTGCCCTCAGGGCTCAACAGGCCCTGGATACATGAAACCTGGGGCTGTGTTAGGAGACTGACCCAGGATTCTGCCATGCATGTGCTTCCTGCGATGTGGTGAGGAGACCTTTGGATCCACAGCCGGGTCTCATCTGCTTTCAGTTTTGCCACCTTCAGTAATTTCAGAAACAGGCACATATCTGAGTATGCTCTGAAATCAAGATATAAACTGCTGGAAAGTCTGGAAAATGTCCATGTGGCAGAGCTTCTGAGCTCTGAAGTTACTGCAGATGCCAACAGGGAAACACCTTAAACGGACATAATCACTTGAGAACAGAGCACCCCAACTGATCAGAATGAACTTTCCCTTCCAGCTCCTCCTTCTGGAAAACGGGGCCTCCATGGCCACACAGGCCCAGAGCGGTGCCCTCCATGGCAGGGTGCTCATCCCAGGGGCACCAGATTTTATATTTAGACCTGACCAGCAATGATGAGCAGCCGAGGCACCTTGTTCTGTCTATATCAACCCTCACCAAATGGACAATGGGATTAGGGAGGAGCCTGCAGAGAAACTTATAGGACACCCAAAGACAACACCCAAAAATGCAAGTCCAAGCTAGCACATGGCAGAGCAACCCTTCTACACCTGGCTCAAGGGACCCCAGAGGTGAGTGCTGATGACCAGCTCACTGCTGATGAAAAATTACTGAAATATTTAAAAATATGAAGACTGCTTGAAATATGAGTTTATACCCATGATTACTAGTGAAGAACTTTGTCCTAACTGTACGCTGTGCTTTGAAACGACTGATGATAATAGAATACAGCTACTGCTTCACCTTAAGCCTTTCAGATTTTTCTTTTATGCACGTTTTTAATGTAAAAGATCCACCAGCCCCTCAGTGCATGTGTGCAACACATGAAAAGGCTCAGCTCCACGGAGTCGGGAGGTGCTCACACATCAGCTGGCAGGAGGTGTGAAGATGCTCTGCAGGGCACCTTCCTTTCCCACCCTGGCTCACACTGATGGTCTCCGCCTGCTCGTCACAACAGACCAACACAGCTGAGGAATTCTTCAAAGTTCCAGAGCTGGTTGTTTCCACTGTAAAGAAAAAGGCCAGGCCAGGCACAGTGGCTCACACCTGTAATCCCAGAACTTTGGCAGGCTGGAGTGGGAGGACTGCTTGGGTCCAGGAGTTCGAGACCAGCCTGGGCAACATAGTGAGACCCCATCTCCACAAAAAATGCAAAAATTAGCTGGGCGTGGTGGTACATGCCTATGGTCCCAGCTACTCAGGAGGCTGTGGCAGGACAATCGCTTAAGCCCGGAAGTCGAGGCTACAGTGAGCTGTGATAAGCCTCGAGTTTTAGAAAGTCAACACAATCTGAGCTATAATTTGGGGGGATTTAAAACATATTTCTATAGGTTTGGAGCAGATGTGCGAGGTCGACGTACCTTTCACCTGCTTCACACTCCTGAGGGCGTACTTCAGGGTGGCCAGTGTACTAGCCTTGCCCTTGGCCTTCTTGTCTGCAGGGAGGTGAACCTTCAGCTCCTTTAGTGTTTTTATCAGTTCTTTGTGTGTGTCCACTTTCGAAGACTGGTCGCTACTGCAGGATTCAAGAAAGAGGCAGCCAAATGTTAGCTTCCTAGGTGTCCTTTCCTGAAGAAACGTGCCTCTTGTCCATTTTCTCAGCCTCGGCTCTAAAGACGTTTTGATCTGGATGGTCCTTTGTGGGGCTCTGCAGGACATTTAGCAGTATCCCTGGCCTCACCCACAATAGACCAGGAAGACCACAGCCAAGTATGACAATCAGAGCTATCGACAGACAATGCCAGATGGTTCTTGCTGGGAGACAAATTGTACCTGGTCAAGAATCACCGCTCTAACCCAACTGAATGCTGGAGAAGTCCCTCCAGCTGTGTTCTTTTCCGCCAAGGGTTAGAGCTAGGCTTTGCTCAGGAAAGGATACTGGCCGACCCACAGTCTGGTGCAGTGGACTGTGCCCTGAGTTGTGCCCTCCTTCCCTGCCCCAGGTAAAGAAGGACTGAGTGATGGGATTACAGAGGACAGCACAGTGACTTCCTGGGACATAAAAGTGAGCCATGAACAGAGAAAAGGGGATTGTGGAGAAGGGTCTTCAAACATTAATTGAGGATACAGAGATGTTAGAGAGACAGCACAGCAGGGCTGATGAAGATGGGCCTGTTCGGAACAGAGGGTGCAGAAGGAATGATGGAAATCAAGGTTTCTCAGGAAATGCAAAGTGCCCACAGGTCCTGGACTAGGAGCCGGGTTCTGCTCTAGAGGTGACAGGAAAATTGACATAGGGTAAGTTTGTTACAAACACCTAAGAAGGGTGAAGAATGTTTTATATGAAAATGCCCAAGACTCAGGCAAAGTCGGTTTCGAGTAGAGCTGGGAGAAGCTACAGGTACTGGAGTGACATCCTGGGGGCTCTGGATGGCGAGGGGACACAGTTACTGTCTGAAAGGCCAGGGTAAGGCTGGGTTCATACTCACACAGCCACACAGACGGGTTTTAGCAGAGCTTAAAAAAAGCCACGTCACTCCCAAAAAACTAACCTCCAATAAGAAGTCTTTCAATTTCTCTAAAAACTTTGTGTACGAAGTTCTAATTGGCCTTACCTGCAGCCACTTGTAGATGGGTTGTGTTCAGATTTTGTAATCATCAGGCTAAAGGCATCTGGACTATGAAAACAAGAAATAAAAGCAAAATTTAGACAACTGTATGCTCCAGATACATCTTCCCCTGCCACCCTACCAGTGATAACAGGTTAGATAACACCATGGTAAGACAACTTTTAAAAAATACAAGGTTAAGATAAAGCTGGAACATAAAACTTTCAGACATGAGAAAAACTAAGTACCAGGACACAGAAACACATGACAACAGGGACCAGTTCGTTTTCTATAAACCGCCCAGTGTTGTATAAGCAGCCGCTGGCTGGGTTACCCACCACTGCTACCTCCCAAGATCTCCTTACGCTATCCAGTACCTGTCTGTTGGCAACTGGATCTACAAAATCAACAGGGCCTCATTATAAGGAAGGACAGACACTGGCACATTTTAATCATTTTCAAAAATCTTGAAAAACTTGATAATCATGATTTAAAGATTGCAAAAGCAATCAAATCACAGCAGAAATGAGCCACTGAGGAAACAACCTGCCCAGCCTCCATCTGGCCAGAGGCTGAACTCACCTCTGGTGGGCATCCGGTGGCTCCACCAGCATCCCCAGCTCCTTCCCGCTGTCGTCACAGTCACTGCCCTGCGAGTCCCGCCCCGTGGAGCAGTTTTCGTTGGTCTCATGTCCACTTGAGCCACTGCTCATGTCCACATCTTCCTGAAGTGGGACCTGGCTGGGCTGGGGCTCCATGGGCTCCTTGGTGAGGTTACTGGGGCTGGGGGGAAATTCCGCGTATCCATTCATGTTGGGCTCTGGAATGAAGCTGGCAAACAGAGGGATGCTGTCAGGCAGAGCACCCATTTGACTCTTTCTGTTACTAATGAAACTGCAGTCTCTTTCTTTCTTCTCTCTGTCTCTCTCTCTCTTTCTTTCTTTCTTTTTTGGAGACAGGTCTGACTCCTTTGCACAGGGAATGCAGTGCCTGGGCTCAAGCGATCCTCCCACCTCAGCCTCCAGGGTAGTTGGAACCACAGGCACTCACCACCATGCCTGGCTAATTTTTTGTATTTTTGGTAGAGACAGGGTTTTGCCATGTTGCCCAGACTGGTCTCAAACTCCTGAAGTCAAGCGATCTGCCCGCCTCAGCCTCCCAAAATGTTGAGATTACAGGCCAGCTGTGGCTAGCCGCACCCAGCCAAAACTGCCCTTTCATTGCAATCAATCACACACATATTAGTTCATCACATCACTTATTTGTTCTTATTGACAGAGCTCCTATCTGCCATGGATTAGGAAGAGGGTTGAATGAGGCAGCCTCAGCCCCTGACACAGAGCTGCTGGAGGCCTCATCAGAAGGCAGACAAGAGCACTGACAGCCACCGCCCGGCCTGTGGAGTGCTGGGAAAAAACAAGAGCACTGACAGTCACCGCCCAGCCTGTGGAGTGCTGGGAGAAGCACACAGTCCCTCTGAATGGGTGATCTGCCTTTTATAAATTTCCCCAGATGATGGTGGGGTAGGGGAGCCGGGTTCAGAAATCTTGGCCATTACACACGGCACAGTTACAGGAGGAGGAGCCAAGGCTACAGGAGACATGGAGACAGACAGGGCTTGCTGGCTAAAGAGGGCAGAGGGGCCTGCCAGGTGTGGAACCCTCCCAGCAGCTCGGGAGTCCCAGGCCCCACAGGCATGTACAAGTGGGATGGGGAGGGACCAGGACAATGTGGGTTCACATTTACTAGGAATAGTTGGGAGCTGCTGAGGCACTCTGAGTGCCAGGCCCACGGAACTCAGCTTGCATTTGGACAGGCTCAAACTGCTGTGCTGGACAGAAGCTTTACCTCAGCACTTTGGGGTAGGTGGGTGGAATGGTTGAAAAAAGACAGACCAGTGATCATCCTGGACACGGACTGAGGGGGTGAACAGAGACAGGCAGTAGGGAGGGGTGGGACTGATTAGCAGGTGGGAGGCCAAAATACCATCCTGGGTCCTCCCTTCTTCACCTAGTGATGTCCCCCCATCCCCAGGACAGCGTTTTCAGCAGGGTCCCAGCAGAAAACAGGCACCCACTCAAGCAGGGCACTGGAGAGAGCCAGATGAAGGCCCTGCTTGACACAAGTGGTCATGCTTAACCAACACAGCTGTGAGGCTCTGGGGTGATGCTGCTGACTACAGACATGATGCTAAGCACCCAACACACAGCCTTCCCAGCAACTCTGGATCACTGTCTACATGGTGTGCAGGGGACTGTTCTACAGAGGTGCCAACAGGGGTGGGTAGCTCACCCCAGACCACACAGTAGCAGATGACAGCCCTGGATTCCAGGCCTGCCGGCATCTGAAGATGGGACCCCCACCCTACAACCAGGCTTGGCTAAACAGGGACCTCCTGCTTTCTGCCACTGCACTGTGCTCGGCCCCAACTCTGGTCCAGTGTGGCACTGCCACTTCTGTATGGCATCCGTCTGGCCCTTCCCAGGGCAGGCGGAACAAGGGGAGAGAAGGGTTTCTAGATTCCAGACCCCAAATCTTGTGAAACACCTTATGCTCCAATTCCCATCTAGCTCTGGGAGAGCCTCCCCTTCCACCTCCTTCCCACCAGAACCCACGTGAAATGACCAAGGATCATACAATTGGTTGGGGGGAGGGATTATTTTCAGCAGCCCTAGAAGTCCCAATCATTCGCCACAAAGTGAAGATCCGTCCTGCTGCTTGTCGCTCAGATGGAAGGAGCATGAAGAGTGCACTGGAGTCCAAATCCCCCTGAGGAAGTGGCTAGTGCTGAGATCCCTGCTATCCCCCGCCATGGAAGAAGACGGCCTGAACCACGGTCAAGGCTGGACTATCAAGAGCTCTACTACCAGGAAGATGCTTCGTGAGGAAGCTGTGGGAGAAGAACGGACACCGGAACAGAAATCTTGTGGGAAGGAGAGGTTCTCCTGGACACGCTTCACCCACTGAACACCCCCAGGTGCCCTCCCCTACAGGGCGACTCTGAGAAAGGGCTCGAAACCATCCAGCAATACTGAGGGCCGCACACACGGGGAGCCAGATTCCAACAGCAGGCCCTAGGAACTGAATGGCTAAGCTCCAATGAGAGCCTTCAGCACCCCCTTCCCCAGGTCAAGTCCGTTCACGGGTGAGCCACTCCGGGACAGCCTGGTGAGAGGCAGGGCTCACGAAGAGTCCACCCACATCAGTGTCTGGAGAACAGTAGGGCTGACTAGACCTTGCCTTGTTCAAAAACTAATAAACAGAAGAAAGCCAATACAGGGCTGTGGAAAAGACACACAGCAAAGACAACTGAACACAACCCTCATGCCACAGAGGAAGCAGCAAATTAGGACAGCATTTACTTTTCATCCTAAAAATACAAGAAGTGATGGACTCAATGAAACAAGTAATGAGGGATGCGATAAGGCCACACAGTCTGACATGAAAATGCCACATTAGAATGGAAAACTAGGAAGGACAAAGTTCAGAGTCAATAAAAAGAAAATGGCTTCAGTGATAGGGAGGAGACGCATGAGAAACTTTTAAAACGCAAAGGGAAAGGAGAAAGGAAGAGAGACGGAGGAGGGCTGGGTTTTACCTGTGGATTACAGCTCTTTCTGAAAGAGACGAGAACAATAAACCAGAAACCATAATGAGCGAGACACATAGAGAACCATCCTGAGCCAAAGACAGAGCTGAATCTGCCAATCAAAGGACAGGAGTCCAACGCCTATAACTGCATCTAGATGACAAACAGTATCTCCAAGGATAAAGAAAATCCTACCAACATTCAAAGAGAACAAACAAGTTACCCATAAAGGATGAAAAAAAATCATACTAGTCTTGGATATCTCTTCAGCAATATTAAATTTCCAGAAGACAATGTCTACTTTTTTTTTTTTGAGAGAGAGTCTCGCTCTGTCAACAGGCTGGAGTGCAGCGGTGCAATCTTGGCTCACGGCAACCTCCGCCTCTGGGTTCAAGCGATTCTCCTGCCTCAGCCTCCTGAGTAGCTGGGACTACAGGCGCCCAGCACCACACCCAGCTAATTTTTGTATTTTTAGTAGAGATGGGGTTTCACCATGCTGGCCAGGATGGTCTCGCTCTCTCGATTTCATGATATGCCCACCTCGGCCTCCCAAAGTGCTGGGATTATAGGCGTGAGCCACCGTGCCCAGCTGTCTATATATATTAATAGCTCTGAGAGGAAAAGCTTATGGTCAAAGGGAGGAAATCTCAATTACAGGATACTTGATTGTGGGTTATATAGCTGGTTTTATCAATATCCTGAGTCATATAAAACCCAAAATGCCAGCGTCATTCCACTTAAAGTCAGGAACAAAATAAGCAAGTCTATTACTCCTGTCTTTGTTTGTTTACATTTTATGGCAGTTCTAGCAAATTCAATGAAAGATGAATGGTAATACCTTTTGGGAAGAGAGAGACTAAGCACGAAGACTGCCTAGGCCATTCCCACAAAGAGAAACACCAAAGATTTGTGAATTTGTAGAGACAGGCTCAACCTCATTAGCAACAGGAAAATGCAAAGGATGAGGTTATCATGCCCATCAGGTTGCCAAAAATTAACAGGACTGCTCACCCTAGCGTTGGTCAGGTGGACGAGTGGCTCTTGAGTATGGTGGTATAGTAATAGGGTATTTCTGGAGAAAAATTTGAGTTCACAGCAACGTTTATAATCTGCATACTCTTCCCACCTCCAGGAATCCATTGCAGATAAGTGCTTATTTATGTGCACAGAGATGTGTGAGCATGGAATATAAAAATCTGGAAAAAACCATCAACAAGGAGGCTACGCATCCTGTCCACGATCATCCTGGCCAGGAGCCAGTCTCAAATTCCAAACTGGTCCCATGCCTCCACCTGGCCCTGCTATGGTCAACACAGCATCTAGAGCGATCCTGGTGAAGGGGCTTAGCTTACACCTGGCCTGTGCTCAGACCCTTGCTCAGAGCATAGCTCTAGTGGGCATGAGGGCCAGAGGCTCTGCAAGTCCAGCTCCTGCAATCTCCTGGGCATGTCCTGTTAACTGCCCACCCCTTGGCCCCAGCCCTGTGTGCTCTGACCACAGGGACTCTGCACTTGCTGCTCCCTCGTGCCCACAGCCCTCTTCCTGTAGATGCCCTGGGCAGCCTGCATGAACAGCACTGCCTCCCCACCAGCTCCTTCTCTGTGCCCTGCACTCCTGCTCTGTGGGCTTTCCTTGCCAGCACTGAGGGGCGGGCTGTTTACTGCCTGCCTCCCCTCTGGGACCTAAGCTCCATGCGGGTAGGGGTTTGAGTTGGTCACTACTGGATCCCCAGGCCCTGGCACGTACTGTTGAAGACACAAACCTGGGACATCCATGCTCCGAAATACACCCACTAAAAGGACGGAGGCCAGAAACACTGATGTGGGGAGAGTCTCAGACATAGATGAACAAGTCCAAGAACAATAAATAACGACAACAATAAAAAGGACAGATGACACTCAGGCAGGGCCCGCCTGGTGCCAGCAGTTTCCCACTGATTTGCCCTTACTCGCTTAGCACTGAGGGCTGGCACTGGGGCAGATAACAGAGCAGACATCTTTCCTGCCCTCAGGGAGCTTACATTAGGGGGAAACAGACAATAAATAAGAAAGTAGAATATACAGTACAGCAGGCAACTAGCAAGGGAGAATAGAGGGGCTGGGAGTGACATTTCAGTGAGGGTAGCCCCAGGTGTAGTTGGCATTTGGCAAAGACCTTGCACTTGAGCCCTCATGTGTGAACTGACTCAGAGTCCCTGGGCTTCGCTCTCTCAGGCTGGCAGTCACGTGCTCCAGCAGCTCCT